AAGCTAGCACTCCAGAGATTGTGTTGAAATAGACAGAGGCTCTCCCAATTTCCCTGCCCAGAATTCGTTGTTACCCAAAAGGGAACACTGAAATTGTCACCCTCTGAATGAGCACATCGCTGGGGTAACGCCATCATCCAAACGGAACACCGTGAAGCCAAGTTGGCAGCTCTAAGAAACTGATGGTTTTGTAAGATGCCGTCCCCCACTGGGAGAGAAGGACAGCTAATACATAAATCATGAAGATACAGCTCATAAACTAGAACATAAATTGAAACATGGCTACACGTAACACAGGTTCCCAACATCCATACTAACACAATGTAACAGATCACGGTGAGAATCAAAGTTTCGTTAGCAATGCACGTTTAGGCTAAATAAACAGGAACCAAGGAGGAATTAACAAACCCCGGTGGTAATAAACCCAGCAGTAAAAGGAAAGACAGGCATTTTACCACAACTCTGTTCCTGGCCCTGAGGTCTACCTAAAGATTAACAAAAGCTACATCAAAGCTACCTCCTTATTTTTATGTACCCAGGAGGCCTGGTAAGCAACTGGTCTGTGTTAGAATGCTTTACACGTGACGGACAGACATAGAGAAAATGGCGCAGAGATGCAGAGGCTTGTGGGATCGATCAGAAATCAAGTCAATGACCCAAACCCAGTCAAAGCGATGCTTTCACCATTGACACAGTAGCTTGCTTCATTTTTCATAATTCCTCATAGCAATCCCACATGACCAGACACCTACACCCACAGGTCACAGGACAGTTACAACATAAAATCACAATATGAAAACACAAAACACAACCCCCAAAACCTGTAACCCCCACCTCCCCACCACATTTCAAAAGAGAATTAGATGTCAATCAGCCAAAGGTCTGGTTAAAGAAGTGCGTTTTCCCCTGGCGCTTAAAGCTGCAGAAAGGAGGTTTTTTCCACTCGTCGTATGATTTTTTTGATGGGCACAGAGATTGGAGCTGTTACTGAAGCTTTTTCCACATTCCACACACTGATAGGGTTTCTCCCCTGTATGAATTCTTTGGTGGGAAGCGAGAGAGGAGCTAAAGCTGAAACGCTTTCCGCATTCCACACACTGATACGCCACATCTCCCCATGCGTGCTGGGTGGATTCCAGCAACAGTTTTAGCAATTTACATATTCAATAAAATTGGCCACATGTTATAAAAGGAATATGGATTGTGTCCCCTCACCTTCTTGATTTCCCCTGGCAAACAAAATTTAAGATACTGAAACTGTGGAGCCCAGAATTGAACACAGTATTCTAGGTGGGGCCTGACCAAGGCAGAAGAAAGTGGTACTATTCCTGCCCTTGATCTGATTCTGCATTCTGCCACATTGGCCTCCGCTCCCCTTTTGGTGTCGTCTGCAAATGTGATGAGCATCCCCTCAGTTCCTTCATCCAAGACATTTATAAAGACGTTGAACAACAACGGGCCCAGGACAGAACCCTGCAGCACCCCTCTTGTCACTTTTCTCCAGGATGAGGAGGAACCATGAAGGAGTCCTCTTTGGGATCGGTCAGTCAAATCCGCCTAACAGTTACCAAGTTCAGCCTCATTTTACCAGCTTCCTCACATAAATATCACGGGGGACTTTGTCAAAAGCCCTACTGAAATGGAGATGCACTATTTCCACAGCAGTCCCCTGAGAAACAGTCTGTAACTCCATCCAAAAAAAGAAAAAGAAAAAAGAGAGATTTCTGTAGCTTGACTTGTTTTTGACAAAGCCATGCTTTCAACCTGTCTGTTTATGTTGTGAATCACCATGAAATCTTCAGATGATGGGCACCATATTTTTTAAAATGATAATAATAATAAGGGTATTGACAAGCTGGAACATGTGCAAAAGAAGGTGACCAAGATGGTTTTGTTTTATTTATGCATTTATTTCATTTCTATAGCGCCCTATAGCAGGGGTGCCAACTGGAATAAAATATAGGAGAGGTTTAGTAAGCCACGCCTCGGTTAAACAGTCACAGGATGCGGTTCATGCATGCCATTTGAATGGCTATTCCTATGAACTGGGGGGTGGCCCCCTCACATATCTTATTGGGGGACAAAGACTGTTGGGATACTGCCAGGGAGACAAAGTCCATCATGGCCCCAAGCCACCTGCCGGACGATCCATCGATCTCCCGTAGGCACGCAGTATCAGCAATTAGCGACATGAGTTTCTAGAAAATATCTTGCCACATTCCAGAGCTCATGTACACTCTATCAGCAGATAATGCACAGCCAAAGTCGCACTCAGGAGAGCATTATTTACAAGTTTATTCAGCGTTGATCAGAACACAGAAAATCATGACTGCCTGCTTTAGTGTCTACGACACAGAGAGAGAAAACGAAAGCAACAGCAAACATAAACATCCTGTGAACAGGAAATACGCAGACTCTGTGACTCTCAAAGCCTGCTCCCTTTTAAGGTGGAACGGAAATATCCTAACATCCTCCCCCTTTCCGTGTAACCTGTAGTACCTGTGGTTCAACCCAATTGCAACCTTTGTACGTAAACCTTAAGTTGTTCTCTGTTAACAACCTTAGACAACAGATCAGCAGGAATTTCATTTCCTGGCAATGTAGGACACCTGAATGAGTCCTTTCTGAATACACTCTCTTGCACGATGTAGCTTAATCTGAAAGTACCTGGTTCTTTGCTTGCAACTCTCTGAGTTCAGCAAAGCCAAACACGATCTATTGTCTTGATTCACTTGTACAGGACATTTCACAGAAACTCTGATGTCCTTAAACAGTTGCATCAACCATTCACAATCCATGAGTGAAAATGACAGAGCATTGAGTTCTGCTTCACAGGAACCTAGGCTCACTGTCGTCTGCTTTTTGCACAACCAGTCAAACAGGCAGTGGTTGTACATGTAGCATACTCCAGAAGTGCTTGTACCATCCGTGGTGTCACTTCCAAAACTAGCATCTGCAAAGATTTCAAGACCTCCAGTCTTCTGACTGGTGAACCTCAGCCTGTAGTGCAAAGTCCCTTTCAAATAGCGGGCTATGCGCTTCAGAGCTTTCCAATCCTGAACAGTAGGATTGTTAGCATGTCTGCTAAGCAGGTTAGCGCTTACAGCAATGTCAGGTCTTGAGCATCTAGCAATGAAATTCAACTTGCCTAGAATGCATCTGTACAGCGTTGTGTCAGAAAACGCTTCAGCAGTACTATCTACCTGGTAACCTGTCACCATCGGTGTGTCTGCTGGGTTTGCATCAACCAAATTCAACCTGGTTAATACATCAGCAATTTTCTGTGTTTGGTGTACCAGAAAATTACCTGCTTGGTCCCTCTCCACCTGCAGAGAAAGATAGTTGGATACCTCACCAAGATCCTTCATGTCAAAGTGCTCCTTCAGCTGAGCTAGGGTGCTTTGGTACAAAGCCTGATTCTTACAAAACATCAGAAGATCATCAACAAAACATAAACAATACAGTTTGTTTTGCCCCTCCTCCTTGACAAACACACATGGATCAGCTTTGCCCTGGTGAAAACCTAGAGAAAGCAACGTCTCAGTGAGCTTTGTGTTCCAACACCTGGCACTCTGCTTGAGACCATATAAGGATTTCCACAGTTTACAGACTATTCCCTTCTGTATCTGCATCCCGTCAGGTGGAAGCATATACAGCTCCTTCCCCAAAACCCCGTACAAAAAAGCTGTATTAATGTCATGATGGGAAACATGCAGTTTCTCCTCTGCAGCAATCTTGAGCATCAGCCGAATGCTCTCATATTTGACTGTGGGAGAGTAGGTCTCGTGGTAATCCTGTCCTGGTACCTGTGAAAAACCTCTGGCAACCAATCGGGCTTTGTGTCTGACAACCTTGCCATTCTGGTCTATCTTAGCCTTGAAGACCCATTTGCTGCCAACCAGTCTCATCCCTGGGACTACCGGTACCAACTCCCACGTTTGGTTCCTATTCAAGGAATCAACTTTAGCCTTCATGGCATTAAGCCAAGGCTCAGCATCTTTAGAGGTTAACTCCTGAACCTCTTTGAAGCTTGAAGGTTCCAACACCTTCTCTGAGCTACTAAGAACAGCAGTTGCTTTCTTAGCAAACTCACCAGCAAATCTCTTTGGAGGTCTGCCCTTCGTGGCTCTCTCAGATCTGTGTACTAGACGCAAGTCTTCTGGACTCATCTCCTCTTTCTTAGGAGAAAAGTGACCAATGGTGAACAGTGGTTTTTCCAGTTCATTGTCAGACGCATCAGATGGTCTGACTGAGGCCTTTGCGCTCTGCTGTGTCATCACTGTCACTGACACCAGCAGCAGCGCCGCCCGCTGAACTGGAATCCGAACTCTGGTCATCATCATCTTCCTCAGCAGCTTCCTCAGCTTTAGCTGCTTCTTTGACATCACCTTCATCCTCCTCTGGGTAACTCTGGAAAATTCCCACATTTCCCCCCCACTTAGGATTGTACTCAACACTCTTTGTGAACTTAATGGACTTAGAATCAGTCATCCATACTCTGTATGCACAGCGGAAGTCGCACTCAGGAGAGCATTATTTACAAGTTTATTCAGCGTTGATGAGAACACAGAAAAACGACTGCCTGCTTTAGTGTCTACGACACACAGAGAGAAAACGAAAGCAACAGCAAACATAAACATCCTGTGAACAGGAAATACGCAGACTCTGTGACTCTCAAAGCCTGCTCCCTTTTAAGGTGGAACGGAAATATCCTAACAAAGACCCCTCAGACTCTAAGAGTTGGCTCCCATTCCCTACACTCACAGGTCACAGGACAGTTACAACATAAAATCACACAATGAAAACACAAAACACACACCCCAAAACCTGTAACCCCCACCTCCCCACCACATTTTAAAAGGGCATTAGATGTCAATTAGCCAAAGGGCTGGTTAAAGAGATGAGCTTTTCACTGGAACTGAAAGGGGTTGGACTCGATGGCCCTTGTGGTCTCTTCCAACTCTATGATTCTATGAAAGCTGTATAATGAAGGGTTTTGCAAAATTTGTATGGATTCTTTGATGGGAAGTGAGATTACAGCTCCTCCTGAAGCTCTTTCCACATTCCAAGCATTCATAGGGTTTCTCACCTGTATGAATTCTGTGATGGGAAGTGAGACTGGAGCTATCAGTGAAGCTCTTTCCACATTCCACACACTGCTAGGGTTTTCCTCCTGTATGAATTCTCTGATGCCTAGTGAGATTAGAGTTTATACTGAAGCTCTTTCCACATGCCACACACTGATAGGGTTTCTCCCCTGTATGAATTCTCTGATGGGAAGTGAGATCGGTGTTCCTACTGAAGCTCTTTCCACATTCCCCACACTGATAGGGTTTCTCCCCTGTATGAATTCTCTGATGGGAAGTGAGATCGGTGTTCCTACTGAAGCTCCTTCCACATTCCCCACACTGATAGGGTTTCTCCCCTGTATGAATTCTCTGATGGGAAGTGAGATCGGTGTTCCTACTGAAGCTCTTTCCACATTCCACACACTGATAGGGTTTCTCCCCTGTATGAATTCTTTGATGCTTAGTGAGATGGGAGCTCTGACCAAAGCTTTTTCCACATTCTGCACACTGAATGTGCAGTGTATGAATTCTTTCATGCTTAGTGAGATTGACTCTCTGACTGAAACTCTTTCCACATTCCACACACTGATAGGGTTTCTCCCCTGTATGAATTCTTTCATGCTTAGTGAGATTGGCTCTCTGACTGAAGCTCTTTCCACATTCCACACACTGATAGGGTTTCTCCCCTGTATGAATTCTTTGATGGGAAGTGAAAGAGGAGATATGACTGAAGCTCTTTACACATTCCACACACTGATAGGGTTTCTCCCCTGTATGAATTCTTTGATGGGAAGTGAAAGAGGAGCTATCAGTGAAGCTCTTTCCACATTCCACACACTGATAGGGTTTCTCCCCTGTATGAATTCTTTGATGGGAAGTGAGAGAGGAGATATTTCTGAAGCTCTTTCCACATTCCACACACTGATAGGGTTTCTCCCCTGTATGAATTCTTTGATGGTAAGTGAGATCGGAGCTGTTCCTGAAGCTCTTTCCACATTCCACACAGTGATAGGGTTTCTTCCTAATGAGATTTCCTTGATGGGAAGTGGAATTGGAACTTTTTCCACTTTCAAGATATTTATACAGCTTCTCCATTGTGGGGATTTTGTCATGGTCACCCTTGTCCTTGATTTCCAGTCCATCACTATCTGGAATGAAGAGTAATGGATTAGTGTCTCAGGGAGAAATAAAGGAAGAATACTTGTTAACTCTGGTAATAGAGGAATAACACAAGTGGGTTAGATGGAAGGTTTTCTGAAGGGTTGCTTGCATTAATTAACGGGGATCAACCGACATCCATAGGGGAACCTGTGATTCGATAAGCTACTTTAACTTCCCTAACAACTCTGAAATTTACAGTTAAAATGGCCTGGGGAGTTCAGACCAGACAGATCCTTGTTTAGAAGTTGCAATATTGTAATCCCAGGAGTCTTAAGGGGGCGCTATTGAGTTCTGTGAAAATATATGAGGTTCAACAAAGAGAGCTGTTTTGAATTTAAAAACAGATGATTATGATTCCAATGGGATTCTTACCAAGAGTGGCCACGATCCCAAGATTCTCCTCCATGACGTCCTTATGCAGAGCTCTCTGGTCAGGATCCAGCAACGCCCACTCCTCGTCCGTGAAACGAACAGCGACATCTTCAAAGCACACTGGACCCTGAAAGAAAAAAGGGAAATGTCCTCCTCTGAGACAACACTGTTGTTCACCACCACTCCTTGAGCTAGGACATTGTTCCACCCCTTGGCCTCTGTCCCCACAAGGCAGCTTCCCCTGACCTGATCTGGATCCACAGCCGCTGCTTCCATTCTGTCCCCATTCAGAGATGGATGAAGAGGTCTTGCGGGCATCATTCTGTCACCTGCAAGAGGAAAAAGGTAAGGGGGAGGCCCAGAGTGCCTTCTTCTCTCACAGGTAAATCAGTGCATCTCAAACTACACAGGGGCCTTTGAGAAAGTCTCGCCTGCTGAGTGCATTTGGATATTTGGGTGCATTTCAGCTATTAGTTGTGAAAAAAAATATATCTCCCCTCCTCTGGGCTCTTGGTCCCAACTATCTCCCCCAACAAAATATGGAAAAAACCCACAGATGAGTTGGGAAAACCAGCAAAATGAGACTAAACTAAACTAAATGAGATTTTAATATTTTAATGTTTCAATATTTTAATGTTGTATTTTAATTTTGTTTTTAAGTTGTAATCATTCAACTTGTTTTTATTATTGCTTGTTAGCCGCCCTGAGCCCGGCCTTGGCTGGAGAGGGCGGGGTATAAATAAAAATTATTATTATTATTATTATTATTATTAAACAGAGAAAAAACTCCTTCCTCCTTACCCAGTGGCCTCTCTCTGGTGTCCAACGGAGGCCTCTCTGCCTCACAGGAATCCAGGTCCATTTCTGCAAAGAGATCCTTTCCCTGAGAAAGAAACAAGGATTCAAAACAGAGAATGGGGTGAATGATTACTCCTGACAGTAAGAGCTGTTCGACAGTGGAATTTGCTGCCAAGGAGTGTGGTGGAGTCTCCTTCTTTGGAGATCTTTAAGCAGAGGCTTGACAACCATATGTCAGGAGTGCTCTGATGGTGTTTCCTACTTGGCAGGGGGTTGGACTCGATGGCCCTTGTGGTCTCTTCCAACTCTATGATTCTATGATTAAAAAACGAATGTCAGGGCCAACAGCTTTAAAAGTGTCAGATCTCATTCCATGGATGCCTTCCCAGAAAAAGAATGGGCCAACAGTAGAGCATTATGGGATGTTCTCTGTCCTGTTTGGAGCCCCTTGGGAGTATCCAGAGGAAAGTCTCTCTCACCTGCTTTCTCTGTTCCTGCTTCCTCTCCTCTGCCTGACTCAGGAGGAAACCTTCAGCCAGGGCCACCGCCTGGGAACTGGTCTCCGCTCCACATTCCCTCACCCAGCTCTCCATCTCCAGGGGAAGGACAGCCAGGAACTGCTCCAAGATCACCAGGTCCAGCACCTCAGCTTTCGTGTGCCTTTCTGGCTTCAGCCACTGACGGCAAAGGTGGTAGAGTCGGCTGCAAACCTCTCGGGGTCCTTTGGCCTCCTGGCAGCAGAACTGCCTCAACTGCTGGCTCTGCACCTCTGAGCGGAGGGTGTCCTCCTCACCCAGGATCTTCTGCACTGGGTTTTGCCAGAATCCCCCAGTGGTCCCAGTTTGGTTGCCATGGCCTCTTCCTGTTCCAGGGCCAGCTGAGTCTCGCTCATCCATCTGTGCTCCCAGGAAGCCTCTGAGAGATCGGAAGGAACCCTTTGGTCTTCTGCCAATTTCTGTCTGTCTTAAGGAGAGGCGCTAGCAAATCCTACAAAGCAAATACATTGTTCAGTTACAAATGTTGTCTAAGATCAGGAGAAGAAAAAGGTTCCCTGAGCAAGCATGGATGAGTCTTGGAGGGAACCAGGGCTGGACTGCACCACAGCCCAAACCATGAGCTATTTTATTTATTTAAATTTCTATAACACTTTATATTTTAAAGAGAAATCTCAAAGCGGTTTACAGCATATTAAATCTGTGGGAATAATTAGGGAGGCAGAAGAGGATATATTATTGAATGATATGCTTCCTAACATGCACTAGCAAGTTCCATATTCTAGTTCCATACATCCCCCTTTTTTAGATTACGCAGCGATCAGCTTGTTGCTGACTCATCTGACTCTTACTATTAAAAATTCCTTCCTGGTAAAATCCCTTCCAATCCCTTTTAAATGAATAAGCACAATAATCTGATTCACGTTAATATAAAAGTAGTTTACTCACAGATTCGTTCACGTTCACAGACAGGCAGGTTGTTACATAACAACTAGAACTATTCCATAAAGAACTTAGTCCCAAATGACTGCCACTAAGGAGTCACTTCCCCAAACACACAGCAACATACAAAATGGAGAAGACACACTGATCAGAAGATGGAGGCCATGTGCTCCTCCATGCTAGTACAACAGACTGCACCCTCTTCAAGTCACATGTAGTGGAAGTCTGTCCCAGCTCAGGAGGAAACAGGAAGTCTTCTCCTGAGTGGTAGAAAACATCCCCTAATGTGTCCACTGTAGGAATCTTCTACTTGACTGCAGTTTCACATCCCACAAAATCAATAAAATAGAAATAAAACCATTGGAAGAAAGTCAAATATATAGTCTATAGTCAAAGCAACATAGCAGAAAACAAATATTCTTATAAAGATGTCAAAATAAAACCATACAAAGGAGGTCAACTACAGAATACATATTTAACACAGTAGGGCTGGGTGAGTCTGGGTCTCACCCCTAGGCCAGGTGGAAAGGGCCTTTCTAAAAAGGAGAAGAAAGAGGAGGAGGAGGAAGAGGAGGAGGAGGAGGAGGAGGAGGAGGAGGAGGAAGCAGCCTCTAGCTCTCCTAGAAGAAAGATTGCAATGCAAAATGTGGAGGCAATGGAAGGGATTTCTGGGAGATGAATCAGGCTGGTTGCTCCTGCCTTCCAGTCAATGCATGAAGTCAGACCTGACTGACAAGGGAGTCATTTGTATCTTGTGAATAATGGATGCTTGGCTCTAGTGGGGTCCTCACCTGGGGGTCCTCAGGAGTTGCTCCCCCCACCCCCACTCCCCTGCTTCTGTCTCCTTTTCTTGCACTTGGACTCTCTGCTGCTCTCCAGAATGACTCCTGGGATGGGGTCCCTTTTTCTTTGCTCCGAGGGCCAGGAATGTATCTGGAAAACCCCAGAGGGCCAGGTGGGTGAGGCCAAAGACACCTCCCTTGAAATTTAGGCGGGTAATTTAGTATTAGTATTCTGTTAGATAGCTTAACATAAGGGACGCGGGTGGCGCTGTGGGTAAAAGCCTCAGCGCCTAGGGCTTGCCGATCGAAAGGTCGGCGGTTCGAATCCCCGCGGCGGGGTGCGCTCCCGCTGCTCGGTCCCAGCGCCTGCCAACCTAGCAGTTCGAAAGCACCCCCGGGTGCAAGTAGATAAATAGGGACCGCTTACCAGCGGGAAGGTAAACGGCGTTCCGTGTGCTGCGCTGGTTCGCCAGATGCAGCTTTGTCACGCTGGCCACGTGACCCGGAAGTGTCTCCGGACAGCGCTGGCCCCCGGCCTATAGAGTGAGATGGGCGCACAAACCCCAGAATCTGTCAAGACTGGCCAGTTCGGGCAGGGGTACCTTTACCTTTTAGATAGCTTAACACACACACAGCCATTGATGCCCAGGTCCCTGGAGGCTCAGGGAGTAGCAGCGCCCATTTCCGGCTGGTTTTCCAGCAACAATCCCTTTGGGAGAGAGAGGATGTGGTCCTGGGATGCCCTGCTCTGGGTGCGAGGGGATTGCAGCAGTGGCCTCCGTGGGGAGCTGCCCTGGGAGACACTGGGAAACTGGTCCCCAATGCAGCAGCCAGACTCTGGGCTGGGATCCCTCTCTTTATTCCTGGCCTTCCTCTCCCACCTTTTTTTTGGGGGGGGGCTAGTCCACCTCCTCCTCCAGCTTTGGAAAACCATTTGCAGATGTTTCCTCTGTTGTGCAATGAGGCTGAGCGATGTCACACAGAGTTAAAGTCCTAATGACTCCTTTGTTTAAAGGAGGAAGATTTCGGGGGAGTCAGTTTTTTCTGAAAGGCCAAACGAGTTTGGGACGCTCTGATCTGCAGGAAGGAGAGCGTGGCAGACCTGGCCCCTCCCTGGCAGGACCCTCTCCTCCCTGACTTGGGGTACCCCCCCTGCAGGAGCAGATCAGCCCCCCCGGCCCCCTCCCCTGCTGCAGCCCTGCCCCCCCCGTCTCCCCACTGCACCCTCTGGGGGGAGAGAGAGGAGACTCACCAGATCCCAGAGAGAGAGGAGACTCACCAGATCCCAGGAGGGGAGAGCGAGGCAGCCCTTGCAGGAGACATCAAAGCAGGAAAGGACTGGGGAGGGAGGGGCCTTGGCTCTGGAGGACCTGGCCCCCCCTTGCTTCCTGTCCTCTCTAGGAAGGCAGCTCGGTTCCCTTTAACCCTTGCCAAGCCCAGCGTGCCCATCTCTCCCCTCCCCGTTTTTCTTTCTTTTCCCACACT